GTTAATTTTTGTATTTTTAGTAGAGATGGGGTTTCACCATGTTGGCCAGTCTGGTCTTGAACTCCTGACCTCAAGTGATGAACCCGCCTCGGCCTCCCAAACTGCTGGGATTACAGGCGTGAGCCACTGCACCCGTAATGGATCTATTTGTCTTTAAAATTGATTTTTAGAGTAATTTTTTAGGAATAATTTTTAGTTTCTTAGAAGAGATACTTTGAGTGTTCTTAACAAGTACCCATTTAAGAAATAATACTGTAGTCATTACTGAATAAAGCTTTAATTTTATATTATAAATATAGTTAGTAATATCAGTAAAGATGGTAAACTATCCATCTCAGTTGGTCTCACAGACCAACTTTCAGTGAGATATTTACCTCAGAATTGTCTTTTGATTTTGATTCTCATATTATAGCCATAAATATAAATCGTAGGAGATGTAAGTAATTACATGAAAGAGTTCTGAGGTCAGATAATTTGCCAGATGCTGGATTATTTGGTGTTAGATTGGCTTCTTTACTGCAGAACTTCTCAGAAACTTTAACATACTAATGTACATTATAAATTGTTTTAGAATATAACGTAGTGTTTGCGAAACTTGTTTAAACATGGAACATTCATTTCTCAGACTGTTGTTCAATATAAATACACTTTGGGAAATGCTGGTATTTGATCCAGTTAGTATTTGTGTGAATTGTTGTAAAGAAAGTAGTGTCTAACCTTTACGAGTGCTATACAGTTTATGAAAGGATATTAGCTTTAATACCTGGACACTTGGAACAATCAATTTCAAATGCATTACAGGTCTTTTTAAGAGATTAAGAGCTAGATTTTTAAGATAGCTTTTTAAGATTTCAGGTATATGTAAATCTCTTAAAGATTTTAGATATAGCTTCTCTACTGCTGCTTCTACAGCTTTTTTCTAAATGAAATTTATGGACATGCTTAGTGTTGAAACATACAAACATAAAATCTGGTGATTCCCCAAACTCTGCATGCCAGCCTGGTTTTCTCTGAGCTCCAAACTAGTGTTTTTAAGTTCCTGACCCAAGAGTTCTATATCCAAACCCTGTAGGCATCTGAACTCCTTCAAAACTGACCTCATCTTCTCCTTCCACTTCCCCAGTCTTAGACTTTACTTTCTGTGTCCCATCCTTGCTAGTGTCACTGTCTTCTTTTCAGTTACCCAAACTAGAAACTCAGGAGACTCAAATTCCTTCTTTGTCTTATACATCAGGATTTCTCAACCTTGGCACAATTGAAAATTATTTGTTGCGGAAAGTTGTCTTGTGCATTGTAGATGTTTAGCAGCATCCCTGGATGCTACCCACTAGATGCCGACAGCAGTTTCCCTCATTGTGACAGCCAAAAATGTGTCCAGACATTGTGAAATGTCCCAAGGAACAAATCACCCCAGTTTGAGAACCACTGCCCTATATCCAATCTATTACTTACCTACTGATACTACTTCCTAAATTTACCTTTAATCCCTTATCACACCTTCATCCTATTCCCTAAACTCCCATCTTCTTTATTTGTTAATATTTGCAGTCCTTTAGTAAGGTTCTGACTAGTCTCCCTGTGTCCAGTGTTTCTCTCCAATCCACCTTCTTTTTATTGCGGCCAAGTTTTGTGCATGTATATGACAAGGTCTGACTCTGTCACACAAATTGGAGTGCAGTGTCATGATCTTGGCTCTCTGCAACCTCCACCTCCCACCCCAGCCTCCCAAGTAGCTGGGACTACAGGTGTGCACCACCATGCCAGACTAATTTTGGTTTTGTCATGTTGCTTAAGCTGGTCTTGAACTTGTGAGCTCAAGTGATCTGCCCAGCTTGGCCTCCCAAAGTGCTGGGATTACAGGTATGAGCCACCACACGTGGCCCAGATTTATCTTTCTAAAATGCAAAGCTGAAGCTGAGCTAAGTGGCTTACTCCTGTAATCCTAGCAACTTGGGAGGCTGAGGTGGGAGGATTGCTTGTGGCCAAGAGTTCAAGACCAGCCTGGGCAATATAGTGAGAACCCATCTGTTCAAAAAAAATAAATAAATAACTGTTCCCTGCTTATAATCTCTCAATAGCTTTCAGTAGACACCCTCATGAACTGTCTTCTCTCTTTTTCCATTCTCTATTTTTTCATTCTAGCCTCATTCTTCAAAGGCACTCATACTTACCTGTACTAAGGTTCTTGCTACACAGTGTACTTAGCCCTCGTCTCACTGTGCAACAGTTTGTTTCAAACTCTGTTTAGGCATCCGTTTTCTATCATAGCTGTCAGTTACTTATTTTTAGAGAATCTATCATAGTGGAGAGCATTTTGCTTTTAACATACCCATGTTTTCTCACCAAATTGAATTTTTCAAGGGCAGGGACCATCTGGATCCTACATCTTGGCATATAATAGATATTCAATAAAAGTTTGAATCGTTTATTAGTATGCCCTGTCAGATGCAGTAACATCCTCATTACTTCTAGGAATTCTGTTCCCTGTATCTGTAGTGAAAATTATTTCCCTAGTCTTCATCATGTAGACTTTGAAGTGCAGGCTTTTGACCACAGAAATCTTAAACTATAATTTTCTTTAAAAAACCAGCTATTCAGAAGAGAATTGAAGAAAACTATGTACTTAGTTGACATTCAAATGTCATTTGCTTATAAGATAGCTAGTTTAAAGATTTTTATTCTGAAAGGAAATTGTGTGGATTAATTAAATGTATGACTCAATATGATGTAGAAAGTCTTTACCATACTAAAAACATTGCATTTCCATTGAGTAAGGATTTGTTGATTGGTTGTAGAAAGCTTGCAAAAGCAATATTATTGTCTTAATAACTAATTTACTGTTTTAGAAAATACATTTATTAGAACACATTCCTATAATCACCAACTTGTGTTATTTAGTGAATTTAGCAAATTTAACCCCTATCAAATGAAAACAACAAAAAAATCAAGTAATCGAGTTAGTAAAGAATAGTGTCCTACCTCCCTTCCTTATGTGCCTTAATAGAGTTGTGTATGATTAGATGTCCCTGTGACTTGTAAGTAACCACTCTCAGCCTGACCAACAGTACTTTTACCTCAGACTTTAACTAGAAGGTGAAAAAAGAAAAATAGGGGTTGCAGGGCTTTTGGAAGATAACCCAAGCTTATAGCACCAGCCTCACTGAAAGTCAGTGGTTGAGGATGGGGAAAGAGGGAATGAATAAGGCCTCTTCCCAATTCAGAGTTCATTATCCTGGTACAGTGCTTTGCCAGATTGTTAATAATTATTAAATGAATCCATATATAATGGCAGTTAAACAAGAAATAATGGCACCACTTCATATTTTAGGGAGTGGCACAAAATATATCACTTTCTTTTAAGTGAGATTCTTTAATAAGAAAAGTTGTATAGGAGGTTTCCAGAAATAAAACTGGGAAAGAGCCAGATTACCTACAGGGAAGGTACCTCCCTTTCACACAACTCTCTAAAGGTTGAAATGGATATAGGGAGTCATCCAACCTCTTATTAACCTTAAGAGCCATTTTGCCGTGGACTCATATTTGCCTTGCCTGTTTTTCTAATTTTTCTCCTCTCCATATTTACCCTTCCTTTCTTCAAATTTATAATTTTAAAGTTAATTTACTTAATATTAAATATTACCAATTAAAATTTTCTTTATGACCTTGAACTGCTTTAGAAAAGAAATATGTGTAGTGAAATGAAAGAGATGAGTTTTATTTGGGCTGTTAAAAAAAAAAAGCTTGATAAATGCTGCTTCCAAGATAATTTTTACTCAGAACTTGGAAATTTTTGAATTATGATGCTTCCATATATATAGATCATCTCATGCTTGTTCATACTATAAAGAATTCTGTAATGATATTTTAAGTAAGTATTTTTTATTAGTTTTTGTTCTTTGTAATTTTAAAAATCTCTGTATCTTTAGTGCCTTACTTGATCTAAGTAAGAGATATTTGTGGTTTCAGCAACTTTATTTTCCATAGACTTTTAAGTATAGTAGAGATTATAGTGAATGTATGTTTTCCCAGTAAGTTCTTTACCTATTCCCAGATTATTCTGGGCTTTAGATGGGTAAAATATGTTTACATGGGTTTTTAATGTGGTTTTAAGTGGGTAAAAATATTAACTTTGTAAGGGTCAAATATAAGATACTTGTATTTTAGCAGAGCATAGTTTATTCTCATTATTCACATCTTCCATGAAAGTGCTAGCAACACTAAGTTAGCAAATACTGTACTGAACCATTGCTCTTAGGGAAAAATACTGTGTCATGTTCCCACAAGCCTCTGCTCACGACATTTTCATCAACTAATCAGTACATAACCATGTTTTAGATGTGTTTCTATTTAAAGACATCTTGCTTAATATATATTGTTAATGCATTAACATTGAACTGATGACCAACAGCACTGTAACTCATGACTCAGTGAAACTTATCTAACACACATATTTTCTCCACATCACAGCCTTCTTGCACCTAGAAACAGCTAGCATCTGGGAACACTTCAGCATGATGCTTATGGGACATTTTAAACAGTAAAAGCACCAACAAAGTGTGAAATGTGAAAAACATGGTGCTAAATAGACCACAAAAGGGAGACTTGTGTATGTAGTATGAGAGCTGAAACAAGAAGGCAATGTCACTTTGTTTAGCTTCAGATGGAAATGTGCCATGTCAGGTGATGCATGGTTTTGCACTGCCCTGTGTGTATCTATGAAAGACTAAGAATGTGCCACAGTATTGATTTGGGGGTTACAGATAAATTTTAGTGAGTAGGTGAATGCACATGTACAGAATCTTCAAATAATGAGGATTGACTATAATTGTTTTTAGAAAACTTATGACTGAATACTTAGAATATGCAAATTTGAAAGTTTCTCTTTCAGGTATGTGGAAATTGTTGATTAAGCAGAATCATCCTTGCAGTTTTCATGTTCTCTTGTCTAGTAAAATAAAAATGGCTGCTTTCATTTCATCATTTTCTTTTCTGCCCTGCAGGGAACAACCTATCTTCAGCACTCGAGCTCATGTCTTCCAGATTGACCCAAACACAAAGAAGAACTGGGTACCCACCAGCAAGCATGCAGTTACTGTGTCTTATTTCTATGACAGCACAAGAAATGTGTATAGGATAATCAGTTTAGATGGCTCAAAGGTAAGCTACGTTTACTTTGAATGATTTGGCTGTTTTTGCTTTTTTCAGTATGGCATTTTAGTTTTATTCAGAGGATTTTATCTTCATTAATATAAAATGTTTCCTTTCGAGTTCTTAAAACTTTTAAGAAACAAAACTGATTATTAAGGTAGCAACATGTTTTGTCCACTAAATTACTTTGATCAACCACTTTATTATATTACATGCCAAAATATTCTACAAATTTGAGGTCATTCTGTTTATTTAATATTCATTGCATATCTGTTATGTGTCAGGCATTATGCCAGGTACTAGCAGTATAGTGGTGGACAGAATAGACATGGTCTAGAATTCTAGGAGCTCTAATTCTTTTCAAATATACTGCTATAGACTAGTAGCAGATCAAAGTCCCTATGTCTTATGAAGTTTGTCAGTGTCAATACTAAAGCTGACATTTCTTCTCTGAAGAGAAAGTATAAGGACAAATCCTATTTTATTTTTAGGAGAGGCAGATAATGTAACAGGAGCAAGGACTGCCTGGGTTCAGATCTCAACTCCACCATCTACTGAGTGTTTTGTCTTTGGGCAGATTACTTCTCTGAGCCTCACTGTTCTCAACTCAGTATTGGTAGTTGTAAGGATTAAATGAGTTAATATCTGCAAAGCACTTAAATCAGTGCTTAGTGGATAGTGTGCTCTTCAGAAGGGTTGGAGGGGGGTTCCCTTTTTCTTTTTGAGACAGAGTGTTGCTCTGTCACCCAGCGTGGAGTATAGTGGTGCGATCTTGGCTCACTGCGACCTCTGCCTCCCAGGTTCAAGTGATTTTCCTGCCTCAGCCTCCCCAGTAGCTGGGATTACAGGTATGCACCACCATGCCAAGATAATTTTTGTATTTTTAGTAGAGACAGGGTTTCACCATGTTGGCCAGGCTGGTCTTGAACTCCTGACGTCGTGATCTGCCTGCCTCAGCCTCCCAAAGTGCTGGGATTATAGGCGTGAGCCACTGCGCCTGGACGGGGGATCCTTTTATCAGCAATGAACTTCATAGAACTCACTTAGAGAAAGAAATTCCAAAGAAAAATCAGATTCTAAGATTCTAATTTTAAAGTGTGTAGAAAGATGAGGTCTTCAGTTTCTTAGAGCCATGAGGCCTTTCCACTTCCAGGAATTTTCGCAATTAAATGAAGGGGTTAAGTGCACACACTGTAGAGCCAGACTGTCTGGTTTGAATTTTTGTTTCTACCATCTGCTTTCCCTCTGTATTAGTCCATTCTCACACTTCTATGAAGAAATACCTGAGACTGGGTAATTTATAAAGGAAAGAGGTTTAATTGACTCACAGTTCCTCATGGCTGGGGAGGCCTCAGGAAACTTGCAATCGTGGCAGAAGGTACGTCTTCACAGGGCAGCAGGAGAGAGAATGAGAGCAAGCAGGGGAAATGCCAGATGCTTATAAAACCATCAGATCTGGTGAGACTCACTATCACAAGAACAGCATGGGGGAAACTTCCCCCCATGATTCAATTACCTCCACCTGGTTCCACCCTTGACACATGGGGATTGCAATTCAAGGTGAGATTTGGGTGGGGACACAGAGCCAAACCATATCACCATCTGATCTTGAGCAAACTATTTAGCTTCTGCATGCAGGGCTGGGCACTGAGGTTTGTGCCTGTAATTCTACCACTTTGGGAGGCTGAGGCAAGAGGATAACTTGAGACCAGGAGTTTGAGACCAGCCTGAGTAACACAGTGAGATCCCATCTCTACAAAAAAAAATAGAAAAAAAATTAGCCAGCCATATTGGTGCTTGCCTGTAGTCCTAGCTACTCAGGGTATTGTGACTGGAGGACCCCTTGAGCTAAAGAAGTCAAAGCTGTAGTGAGCTATGATTACATCCAGAGTGAGACCTGTCTCTTAAGGGCGGGTGGGGGGGAGCACAAAAAAACACAACTTCTGTATGCCTCAGTTTTCTCGTCTGTAAAAAGGAGTGAATAAAAATACGTACGTCATTACACCATAGCGTTGTTGTGAAGAGTAAATAAATTTAGGCAAAAACAGTGTGTGTATAGTAATCACAATACAAACACTCACTGCTATTGTCATTAATGCTAGTATCAGGCGATTATTGGCTAGTGTTATGTAGGGAATAAAAGATAATTTAATTTAATGCTAAACTTTTTGTCTGATTTTTCTGTGTACTCATTCCTTATCTCTTTAACTAGGTTAACTAGATTATAAGACCCCAAGGGCTATTTGCACTTTGTGTCTTGTATATAAGTAACATGTATTTACTTGAATAATTGATTTTTTTCATTTTTGCTTGGAGGATTTAAAAGACTTGAGAAATAGAAATAGTTCGTTTCTGTAAAGCTTTATTTAGTGAAGAATAATTTTGTCATATTTTGTAACTGTCTGGTTTAGTGAAGTTTGACAGATACTAAATATTATAACCTGAGACTCTAGAGTGTTTCTTTTCCCTTATTTGAACCTTGAGTTCTCTGTAATCTGTTTTGTTTCTGGGCCCAAATGACAGATAACATGCCTCCCTTATTAGAAAGGAGGGTTAACAGAGATAACAGAAAAAGATAACAATCCTCCTTTATTAGAAAGGAGGGTTAAATATTGTATAGAAATAAAGATCAACTGAGTTGTGCAATGTCAAAGAAAAGAAACCATATGGAAGTGATTAAATAGATTTCATTTGCTAACTTAACCTTCACCAGATTAAAATACTTTGAGTTATTTTAAAGGAAGGAATTTTAGTGATTAACACATAATCCTCATGTGTTCTTCCCACTGAAGTGATATGAAATGTTGCTCTTGCATTTTTCCATTTCTGAATATACATTACTGATTGTAATTATTAGAATCATAAATGTCTTTTGAAAAGCTTTTCGTATTCTTTTAACAAAATCTATCTTCTGTAGCAGAGTTATATTTTCTATCACATTTTCTAATTACTTTTCTAAACTGATGCTATTAACTGCTGCAGTTCCTACAGGAGTGGTTGTTTTTCAAGTCAGCAGTAGTGGTTTATTTGACTCAGCTAAACAAGTGTTTTCTCCATCTCACCCCCCACTTCTGCTCTTCCTGATTGAGTTGGAAACCCCTTAAGTGCCTTGCCTAGAAAACATGCACTTGTTCTCACTTAAACCCTCTGCTGTGCATATGAAGTTTGCTTTAAGGTTTTCTGATTATGCTACAGAGACCTCAGCATGGTCAAGGGCCAGGATCAGGGCACTCTGTGTGATCCGTACATGAGGTAGTAATGACACTGCATTTCTACCTCTTTTCCTTAAAAGGACTAGAACTCCAGGGTTGAGAGACATATTTATTTTAAAGAACTAAAATTTTTCTTTTAAATGCATTCTACTCAAAGAAGCTAAGAAATAAAGCTTTTTAAAAGTGTGGGATCATCTATCATTTTAAGGTTTTCTTCATTAAAGAACAAGTAATACAGAGACAAGGAAAGGGTCAGAATGGAGATTAAAAGAAAACTCATCAAAGCAGAAAGAAGTTAATTTGAAATAGTTAAAATGAGGGGGCTTAGTGACCAACTAACAGCACATTGGTCAGTTTTCTTAGATACCTATAAAACCTGTTGTTGACTCACTTTTGAGTTATTAGGGTCACATATTAAAATGCCCTTGTCTTTTAGAAAACACAGAGATCCCAGTTCAGACGTGCCCTCCTCAGGACCAGCAAATCTAAGGCAGTGCCTACCAGTCTTGACTTCTTGCCTTTCACTCTTTCACATCTTGGTCTTCACAGTACTTACTACTGTCTGAAATTATATTGGTCAGTTATTTATTTACTTGTGTGTTTACTGACTCCTCTTATTCCAGACTGTAATCTGTAATTACATTGCCCCTCTTGTTGTGTCTCGAATTTTTAGAACTGTGTTTGGCATTTAAAAGGTACTCAATTAAAGTTTAATAAACGAATGATTCTTTACCATTTGTTAATAAATGATTTCCTATTTAGTCTTTCATTTGATGACTTCATTTGATGCCGTTCAAGCTAGAGCACTTATTAGCCACGTTTTACAGATCCCAAATGACATGCTAAGAAAAGCAGTTTTTGAACTGAAGGGTAAGGAAACTGTATAAGTATGAATATGCAAATTTTGTCTGAGGTAAAAAGACTTAATTGAGGATAAGGGCTCTCATATAATTACAGTGGACATATCTTCTGTCTGAGAGAAAGGAAGGGGCCACTCTATTTACTGTTTTTTTAATAGTAGGACAGGTGTCATGCATTCATTTTTATGACTTCTCCAATACCTGCATATCTCTTAAATATTTCCTTTTATACTGTTGTTCACATGGTAAGCAAATTTAGTTTTGTTTAGAAAATGCTCACATGGTAAGCAAATTTAGTTCAGAAAATGCTTGATGTTTCATTCCACATATAAGAGCTCAGTAGATGACTGCTTATGGATTTGTTAACATCTAGCTATTACTATTGGAATCACTTTCTAATCTTAAATTTGGAGTGCATTAGACTAAAAAAATGATTCCCCCTCACTTTTATGGTATTAGCAGAGAGAATGAGTTAATATTTTATGATAGTTGAAATTTATTATGGTGATCACCAAAGTTAATATTTAGTAACATGCTAAAATACTAGTTTTCTAAGAAATTATGTGTGAAACAAAAATGATAGCAATTCTCAACATCACGAATCTACACCACTTTATGAGAAAAGCAATGAGTATGCAATTGACTCTTGACACTGGTTTGAATTATGCAGGTTCACTTATATGTGGATCGAAAAATAGAGTATTTGTAGGAGGTGAAAACCAAGTATTAGAGGGCTGACCTCGTATATGCAGGTTCTGCAGTGCTGACTATGGGACTTCAGTATGCACGGGTTTTGGTATACACAGGGGTCCTGGAACCAATCTCCTGAGTATAGCAAGGAATACCTCTATATTTAGAAGTTTGTTTTTTCCTTGAGTAAAGGGAAAAAGTACTAAATGATTGCAAGTCTTTTCTGTATCATAATGTATTTCAGGTAAATCACCTTGAAGAAAACTCAGTTACGGATTTTAGAAAATCAGTGTTGGCCAAGCACGGTGGCTCGTGCCTGTAATCCCAGCACTTTGGGAGGCCGAGGCGGGTGGATCACAAGGTCAGGAGATCGAGGCCATCCTGGCTAACATGGTGAAACCCTGTCTCTACCAAAAAAATACAAAAAAATTAGCCGGGCATGGTGGCGGACATCTGTAGTCCCAGCTACTCAGGAGGCTGAGGCAGGAGAATGGCGTGAACCTGGGAGTTGGAGCTTGCAGTGAGCCGAGATTGCGCCACTGCACTCCAGCCTGGGCGGCAGAGCAAGACTCCATCTCAAAAAAAGAAGAAGAAAAAGAAAATCAGTGTCATATTTTCATTTTTGAAAGATTCGTTAGAGGGTGGTACCCTACTTTTAAATAAACCACTATTAAGGCCTACTTTCTTCTAGTGATTATCATCCAAAATTAATAAATATCAATTCTAAACATTGAAAAGGAAAACACTGACCACATTAAAAACTCTGACATTTTTTGGATCATAGGTAAACTTATTTGAGTGTAAAATGTTGAAATTTTTGATAGAGTGTCATCATATTTATATTTTAGTTAACATATTTCCACACTATCACTTACAATGCCAGAAACTATTTCTGTAACTATCTTTATGTATTTAACATTGTGGCTTATTGATCATCCTAAGCTTTTATGTAACTGAATGGTCTTGTATTTAAATGCCTGTTTGCTGATTTTTTGCTGGTTATTCATACTTGCTTTATTTTTTAGGCAATAATAAATAGTACCATCACCCCAAACATGACATTTACTAAAACATCTCAGAAGTTTGGCCAGTGGGCTGATAGCCGGGCAAACACCGTTTATGGATTGGGATTCTCCTCTGAGCATCATCTTTCGAAAGTGAGTTAAATCATAAAATTTGAATGAAAATCTTCATCTTCAAGTTGTATATCTTAAATATGTAATACCAAGTAGAGAGTATGAAATATAGGAGAAATTTATTTAATATTCTCAGAACAACAGTAGTGACTTCAGAGCAAGAAGCAAGAGATCATTAGATGCTACTGTCACTTGGAAAATGTATTGTACACATTAAAAACAGTTACCATTGGTTGAGAAGGATTTATGTGGTTAATTGTCTGTATGATAGGAATTAAAAGGTGGGGATTATCACTTCAGAATGGATTTTTGTCAGAGATTAGTACCCTCAATTGGAGATGGTCTGCAATGTAGGCAGTTACCAAGGTCTTTTGAATTGTGAAAACTCAAGTTGACAGTGATATAGATTTCAGCATTTTGATGTGACAGCAGGTACATACAGATTACTGTGTTTAGGGGAAATTGTGCTTTATCTGGATGTGGAATACTCCGAGCTCTGATGCAGTGCAGACTGAGATACTATAGACATCATGAGGACTTTTTAGATAATACTCACCAAGTGACCAGAAAGGCCAATAAAATGCAAAGCATCACCAGGCTGAATATTGGAAATAAGACAGTTCTCCTGTCAATAAGCAAAAGACAGGTAATGTTTATACCAGCAGCACCTTGGGTTCTTGTGGATGTTACACAGATGTATAAGAAAAAACAATCTCAGTATACTAAGTGATCAAGGAGAAAAGTAAAACTCACTTTTCTCTTCAGATCTTGTGCCTGCCAGACCTAAAGATTTATTCTTAAAACCTCTGTTTGAAGCATTCAGTTAAAAGAATAACCATATATTTTAAATACTTTACATGTAATTTGGTATATGCAGAATATGATATAAAACTCAAGCTAGAGAGTTGAAATTTTTCAAGTGCAGAGAAATCAGGCTCTTATATATATACACCATTTATATTTACATTAAACTTTAAGCTGTTTTGCTTTACAGACATTATTCTGTATTCAAATTCTTAAACTGGGTTCTTTTTAGAAATCTTACACTTGGTGGTGTGAATATATGTTGAATCTATTTTTTTTCTTCTAATTATAAACATTTCTTAACACAGTTTTCAAGTGTTTTTGTTATCTTTTGGGTATGAATTATGGCTTAAATCTGAATTTTAAGACTATTTTAACTTTTGCCTTGGTGATTATAAATCATTTTCTATAGGATGATTAACACGAATATTAAAGCTGGGCACAATGGCTCATACCTTTAATCCCAGCACTTTGAGAGGCCAAAGTGGGCAGATCACTTGAGGCCAGGAGTTCGAGACCAGCCTGGTCAACATGGCAAAACCCGGTTTCTACTAAAAATATAAAAAAATTAGCTGGGTATGGTGGCACATACCTGTGTAATCCCAGCTACTTGGGAGGCTGAGACACAAGAATCATTTGAACCCAGGACAGTGAGCTGAGATTGCGCCACTTGCACTCCAGCTTGGGTAACAGAGCAAGACTGTCTCAAAAAACAACAACAACGAACAAATATTATCTTTTTGGTTTCTCTTGTACACATCTTATTCTTTAAATATATTTCTTGAACTGTGGTAAAGATAAGAGTTTTACATTCAAAGTATCTCAACATAACTAGGGTACAGGTATCCAGTGAACATTGCTCTTCCATAAACAGTTTTGTTGAGAAATTTTATGTTTATTCTAATACTTTTGCCATCATTCAGAACCGTTTTAGAACTTGGTGTTTTTTTTTTTTTTTGTTTTTGTTTTTGTTTTTGTTTTTTTATTGCCTATTAAAGACTATAGCAAAAAAAATCTCTAAATATATCTACTTGCCGAATTTCTTAACTTGACAATACAAGAACTAAATCGTGGATTATTTTCTTAAATAAGCTTGGCTTAAATGCCTTAAATGCTTTTTGGGCTAAGTAATTTTGTCTATAAATTAAGTTCTTCATGACATCTTTCAAGTTACTGAGCAGCTAGCTAATGTAGTAAAGGAATAGTTCATTAACTTCTGTCAATTCTATTCTTTTCCCTTGTTTGAACTTTTCTCTGAGAATGGCTTTTATTTTTATTTTTTTAGATTTTTTCTTCTTTAAAGTTAGCATATACTTTTGACCAGCCTTACTGGTGGTAAATCTCCTAGTATTTGAGAGTGGGTTGAATATTGAGAAACAGCTCTTAAACTCTTGGAGGCAATTCGAGCTTATATACTCACAGAACTTGGCTCCAAGAGCTTAAGATCAGTCTTTTCAGAATGTTTTGATCCAAAGAAGAAAAAAAATCATAATTTATTTTTCAGGCTACCTTGTAGACTAATTTTGGTGTTTTGCAGACTGTAGGAGGCTCAAAGGAGTTTATGATATTTTACATAAATGAAGCAAGTACATAAATATTCTAGCTTGTTTTATCAGTTAAAAGCCATGAGTAAGTCAAAACATTATAACGGTTTGGAGAAGGCAATTCTAGACAAAGACATCTCAAAATAAGGGAAAGTAGCATCGTTGAAAAAAAAATGTATGGTCTCTTAAGATTGACTGGTATGAACAAAATTCCAGCTATGCTTGGATTGTTAGAGTGCTTACTAAGTTGTATTTTGTTATCATGGAAACCTAAGCTGTCACTTTTTTCTTTTGCTGAAAACTAAGGATGTAAAACTTAGAAATAGTGTAGATTTTTATGAAGTTGCGAAGGGTTTTAAACATTAACTGTTGTGGAATGTTAAATTAGTGTAAGAAAAACCTTGTATACTATTTCAGATTACTTAAAGAGAAGTTTTGATTTGATTTCATTTCCACCAATGTGAGTGAGAGACCCTTGTAGCTTTGTATTCAGGTATTTTACTGTTTGGAGATACTCCGTTCAATTAGATGAGTATAGTAGCACAAATTCACTTTACTGAGCTACAGATTATAGGTAGAAGTGACAAGGTTTAAGGTAAGAAGGAAAAGTTGTGATAATGACGACTTTAATTTTGACCCTCCTCCATCTCTCCAAGATTAGAGTATCACAAGCCTTTCCTTCCAAAATTTTTCTTCCCAGGATGGAAATGAAATCAGAGTTGATTTATGGGGATTTGAGAAAGGAACTATAATTTCATGTTTTAATTACCAACTCTAACAGATACTTTAAGTTGCATAGAGATTTGGGGTTTTTAAATGTAGTTATTATGTAGTCTTAACTTATTCTCACTGATAATAGTGATAGACTAGCTTCCGCTTCCAAAACATAAATAGATATTCTTTGTGGCCAGGATGTTTTATAGTTTCCTATGAGTTCCTAAGAATTAGTGTTTCATGTACAATAATTTTTGTTTTGAAATTGTTATCCATCTTAAAGACCGTTGAATATTATTCCTTTCTGCTGCTGTACATGAGCTGTTTAGGAATCGTCGGAAATTAATTTTTAGTTATGTCAGTTAGTGAAAATAGTAAATATTGGTATTTGTATTAGTGAAAATAAAATGTGTTGTGTATTATGAGAGTTTATATTTTAGTAGAATTTAAAAGCGTTTTCTAAATACTGTGATGTTTACAAGTGGATATTTGTGAAATTCAGTTTTCTCAATGATTAACATAGCACAGTATGCTTATGTTTACTGATTCTTTCCCCTACCTTAGTCTTAGTAAATTATTTCTGACCAACCAGGAGTCCTTTTGGTAAGCTAGCTGACTCTGAAGTCTAACTTAGATATATCATGATGTTTTGAATAAGATTTGTCAAAATACTTCATAGTGCACAAATGTTTGGAATTAGGTTTCATTTTCTGTCATTTTCATATTAGAAGCTATAATTGGTTTGGAGGCTATATTGCTTGTGTAGAGTCAGTTATTCAGAAAATGAATAACTTTACTGAGGTAAAAGTGGGCGCTGTGACCTATTTTTATTTGGTTAATGTATGTAGTCTTTATACATTCAGTTTGCAGAGAAGTTTCAGGAATTTAAAGAAGCTGCTCGACTAGCAAAGGAAAAATCACAAGAGAAGATGGAACTTACCAGTACACCTTCACAGGTGGGTTTATCATTCCTATTCTTAATTATGAACATTGTTCATTTCAGATAGTATCCTTTATGCCAGAATTAAATATCCAAAGTACACATAGAAATGCACCCGTTAGTGTGGTGACTCACACCTGTAATCTCAAGACTTTGAGAGGCTTAGGTGGGAAGATTACTTGAGCCCGGGAGTTCAAGACCAACCTGAGCAACATAGGGAGACCTCATTAAAATTAAATAAAATTAATTTAAAAAAATAAAAATAAAATTAGCCAAGTGTGATGGTGCAAGCCTATGGTCTCAGCTGCTTGGGAAGCTGAGGTAGGAGGATCACTTGACTGGGAGGTTGAGGCTGCAGTGAGCTATGATTGTGCCACTGTGCTCCAGCCTGGGCAACAGCAAGACCCTGTCTCAAAAAGAAAAAAAGAGAGAGAGAGAGAGAGAGAGAGAGAAATGCATCCTTTACTTAATTTGTACTGGTGGAAAAAGGTTTTTCTATATGCCAATGCCTACAAGAATATTTTTAATCAAAATTTCAGTTTAGTAATTCAATTCAAAGTATTTAATGTGCTTGTAACTTAGCAAAAGTACTTAAAGATCATGTGATAGTCAAATGTAACCACAAGGGGAGTCACAGGAAAAGTTCAGGAAAACAAGTGTATTATACTTGCAGGTCCTAGAAACAGGGAAAGTCTTAAGGTGGTCAAGAGACAGAAAGCAGGAGTGAGGGGAAAGCCGAGGTAGAGCCTTTATTGGAATTTCTATGGGAAAGGCAAAGCAGAGAGGGGGAAATAGTTTAGGATTGGCTGGGTTGAATAATTTCAGGGGGCTCTAAACTATAGGGGTGGTCCCTCATTGTCTGGTAACTGGCCCTGGGATGGAGTAAGTTAGAGGAATATTGTCTCCTGGGATGTATGGATCAGATAGAGGAGGTATGGCTCTGGATTGGCTAGTTTGCATATCAGAGACATGCTCTGGACCGAGCTCTTGCTGTCCTTAAGAATTAGCTAGCCCTAGAGGGGAGAAGCAGTCTCTTCTCAGCCAGAAAATTTTTTTAAAAGATGTCAGAATGTCATAATATACATAAAGTTAAAATATGTGCACACGCATGCACACACGCACAAACAATAGGGTTTGTTTTACATACTTTTATTATTTATTTATTTATTTTGAGCTAGAGTCATGCTCTGTCACTCAGGCCGGAGTGCAGTGGCACAATCTCCAGTTGCTGCAACCTCTGCCTCCCAGGTTCAAGTGATTCTCATGCCTCAGCCTCCCAAGTAGCTGGGATTATAGGTGTGCGCCACCACACCTGGCTAATTTTTGCATTTTTAGTAGAGGTGGTGTTTTATCACGTTGGCCAGGCTGGTCTCCCTGGCCTCAAGTGATCCGCCCGCCTCGGCCTCCCAAAGTGCTGAGATTACAGGCGTGAGCCACTGCCCCAGCCTGTTTTACATACTTTTAAAGTATACTTAAATCTGAAGTTGGAACATCTTTATGCTTAGCACTGAGACAATGGTTATAGGTTTTACAAAAGTATTACTTTTTCTTTGAACAAAGGACCTTTTACTTGTCCATCATAATCTTCCTTCAGTTGGAAGTTATATCTCCAAGTAAAGTTGATTAAATAGTTACATTTTGGTACTTTTATAATACAAGGGTTTCACTGTATGATTAATATAGAATGCCACTATTTTCAGCTTTTTAATAGTAGGCTTTTCTAAAATTAATTTTTATTTTAATTGTTTCCTACAAGTAGGATTCAGCTCTTGGCTGTTCTCCTCTGTAGTAATTGTTTCTGAACTGTACTCAGTAGCTTTTTGGAAAGGAAGAATCAGATGTTACAAATGTTTCTCTGGAATGTCAGTAGTAGCAGATTTACATGGAACTTTCTTGAAGTAAGTAGGAATTGCCTTGGAATTTAATAACTAACCAATGATGAGAACAGTTTAGAAAATTATTTATTATTTATCTCCCTTTCCACTTCTATCACCCAGCTCTATTTGGAAAACTCTACTGGTATAGAGAGTTGAATTTTTTTTTTTTAAATAAGAATAAAGGAGAGCACTGTTAAATATGCTTAAAGTACATATTCCCTCACAGACTAAAGGTGTACCCTGGATTGAAGCCAAAGCTCCATTATGCGTTTGTACATGCAGTGACCTGGAATAACTTTGATGATCATTTGAAACTTCTCTTGAATCTGTCTTCTCTAAGTGCTGTGAAAGTGTAGTGATACTTTTAAACATAAAGCCCCATTTAAAATTAAATGCCAGTACATGTTGGGAGCTCTAGTTCCTCTAGTGAATGATTCCAGTGTTATGAGAAGATGCAACAAACAACACATTCAGTAAAAGAGTACTCAAAGGATTTTAATAAAATTGCAATGGATTAAGCTTTGCCATTGTAATTAGTTTCTGTTTCTCTAATCGTAACTTCCATTTTAGTTGAACTGGTCATGAACCATTATAAGTTGCTGCTAATACTTGTTCCTCTTTGGTGGAAGGAATGACTTTAAGCCTCTGCTTTGATTAAAGGAATATATAAAAGATGCTTATATTTGAAAAATACTATGAAATATAAAGAATAAGGAAATATCTTAAATTCATCACTATTTGAGAGCCAAAATATATGGACCTTAATTTATCTTATCAAAACATTTGAAGCCTAATTGTCAATTTAATATACAGAAGCCAGAGAGAATCATTTTTTAAAAAACATTTATCAGTTCAGCCAGGCGTGGTATGCACCTATAGTCCCAGCTACTCAGGAGCTAAGGTGGGAGGATTGCTTGAGCCCAGCGGTTTGAGGCTGCGGTGAGTTATTACAATCACGTCACTGCACTGCAGCCTGGGTGATAATATCTAATGTGTCTGTTCTAGTTTGAATTGTATGACCATTGGCCATGTCTACCCTACTTGATTCTCAGTGGTTTAACCCAGTCTCCTAAATTAATGCTGCCTGAAGAATGTAACATTACTGTGGAATTTAGCAAAAGAACGGTTAAGTGGGATAATTGATAATAGGTTAAAGAGGAAAATCGATAGTAGTAGAAACTTGGTTGGTCATAGCTTTCATTTTTATTTGAGGGAGGTGTAAGAGACTGGTTAAAAGTTTGAGTCAGACAGACCTAGATATAAATTACTTTTCTGTTGCCATGTAATACACTTGGTTGTTTAATACAAGTGTGTTTATATGTTTGTAACGTGAGTATTACATTACTTATAGAATCATTGATCATCATCAATAAATATGGTAACGACACAGTGTCAGGTCATGGTTAGTAATGGGAGTTCTAGAATCTGAATTTGAAATTGGGCTCCAACCCTTAATAGTTTTCTGAGCTTAGGCAAGTCACTGTTTTTCTTCCTCTATAAAATGAGAATGAGAACAATATGTTCTTATTAGGAATATTGTGAGAATTAAATGAGGATTACAAAGTACTTAGCATATAGTAGATAATAGATAAATATTAACAACTGATGTGGTTGTAATGGGGAGGATGATGATGTAAGGCCTTAACATCGTGTCTGGCACTAACAGTTGTCTTTAAAAATTCAGATGTCTTAAGTGTGTATTTATACAATATGTATTTGAAAAATACTTTGCATCAGAATTCTGCATCAGAATTCCCTGAAAGACTTGCTAAAACTCAGATTGGTGAGCTCCACTCCCAGACTTTCTGATTTAGTAGGTCTAAGATGGTACCCAAGTATTTACATTTCTAACAAGTTTCTAGGAGATGCCGAAGCTATTCCTATGTTAGATATTATATTGTAGAATATTATATATGCCTAATTCAGTTGTGAGTTTTATTTTAATTTTTTAGCCATTTACATTTTAGTCATTTCAAAGTATTTAGCCTGGTTTTCATTAAAATAACCACGCTAGTTTTGCATTCAAAATCAGTAGTTTACATAGTACTTAATTCAGTTTTACAATTATATAAATATAATTGGCATAAACAGGTTTGGGACACATACAGCTGACTCTTGGTAAGCATTTTATGCAGCTGGTGGTTGCAAAATATTCAAGCAGGGTGACAGTTAATCCACTAACCCTAAGCATCAATCAACCAGTATACTTTACATAGCGAAGGAAGAGCATAAATTAATCCAGAAAGTCAGATTATAAGAACTTCTGTGGTTGTCACAAAATGGATTTCAGAAATGGTAGCTCTGGATGGTGACCAACTAGAGGAAAAATGTATGACTGAGGATATGAGGATCTTGTTTGAGAGCTCAGCCTCATCTTCCTTTATGTATCCTTCTGCTGTCTTCTTTCTTTCCATTCTCACTGCCATGGGATCTCAACACTATTAGCTCCTCCCCCAGTTTTTCTGTCAGACCCTCTGCTCAGAAAACAGTGGTGGTTCTCATCTTTGTTTAAGTATAAAACACTAGAATGGACTGAGTCTTCCGTGAATTTTTGTTAAATGGTAAAGAAAGGGCCCTGTTTTCCTTAGGCCAACAAGGTTGAAACTGTAATGGGAATTTAATTTCAGGTTTTATTGGCATGAAATGGAAGGTGGTAGTGATATTTGGTATAGTGGGTCATGGCAGTGCTGCTGCATACCTCCCCAGCCCACCCTTCCAATATGCAGTAGGTCGTTGATAACACTCTAAAGGCTTGTCCTAGAGTGAGGGTCAAGGTCAATTTTTTTTCTATGTGTCCCAGAATATTTCTCATTTTTTGGCTTTTGAGCCAAAATTTCATTTGTGGGTTTTATTTTAATTTTAAGTTACCCACTTCACAAATGGGTAGGAAGAGAGAATTCTTAAGAAGCATTTCCTGAATCTCACATCTGTGCTCAGGTGCCTTTTTTATAATAGGTTGCATCTGTTAGTTTTGGTTTCCTTGATATTCTCTCAGATTTGTACTTCTAAAAATATGTTTTTTCTTTAGTGCTACTGTCCTTTTTCTTACTGTAGATTATTTGTTTCGGTGGGAGTTATAGGGAGAGTTTCTCAGAAACAAAATGAGATGTAAGTGGTTTTATTTTCTCAAAGCAAGGATATAAAATCAATAGAAAGGATCATTTGATCTGTTTTTATTTCATTTTATTTTTTGCTTTTTTTCATTTTTCTTATCAGCTTTGGGTATACACACACACCCCAAAAAAGAATAACTGAAGTAGGGTGTTTAGGAAATTACACAAAATTTAGATTAAAAAAGAAATAGATGCTTAGAATATGTTAAATACAAAATATGTTTCAAGTACTATTTTTAGCATATGCAAAATTTCTGGAAGGTTTTACAGAATACTTTTGGCTACCTCTGGGGTAGTTGGAGGGAAAGAGGATTTCATTTTCCTTTTGTGCCCTCATGTACTGTTGGAATTTTTTCTTGTTTCTCATCAGTAAATACTGATTTTATATTTTTAAAACTGACTTTTAAAAAACCCAAGTTCTCAACTGGTTCAGAATAAAAAATTAAATTAAAAAAATAAAATACCATGCTTTGGGTGGGCTTTTTGTTTTTCATTTTAGGTATAATGACCTAGGATAACTATGCCTTTTCTTAAATATAACTAATATTCAAGTTTTCTGAAGAAAAACTTGCTGCTTTGAGATGTTGGAATTGCTACAACCTCTATCCCTTTCTTTCTCCCCTTCTTAACTGGCCCCTGGGAATAGTCTTTCTACTTTAGTAGCATTAACATTTGTAGCCTCCCCAAGTTCCATGCCTCAAACCCTGCTCCCTCTTATTTCACCCTCAAAGTGACAGGAGCATTTATCCCAGAAGATGGTAACAACCAGGAGTCAAACTGCTACTGCTCTTCCTCTCTCTCTTTTGATCCTAATGTATTTTTGCACACTCTTGTCAACCAGTTCCAGCAAATCCCTGCGTTAATCCTTAATTGCTAACCCTGGTTATGCCCTTTAAGTTTAATAGGTAATTTGCTTATTTTTATTTTTATTTTTTATTTTGAGATGGAGTCTTGCTCTATTGCCCAGGCTGGAGTGCAGTGGCATGATCTCGGCTCACTGCAACCTCCACCTCCTGGGTTCAAGCAATTCTCCCACCTCAGCCTCCCGAATAGCTGGGACTACAGGCACCTGCCATCATGCCCAGCTAATTTTGTTTGTATTTTTGTTGAGATTGGGTTTCATCATGTCAGCCAGGCTGGTCTTGAACTCCTGACCTCAGGTGATCTGCCTGCCTTGGCCTCCTAAAGTGCTGGGATTACAGGTGTGAGCCACTGCGCCCAGCCGGTAATTTGTTTCTGTTATCATTTCTACTGAACTGAATCTTCAGCAATTTAACTGTTTAGTAGGTTGCACATTCAACCTTTTATTATTTTAGTTTGGCTTGGCCTGTTTTGGAGAGTAATAAGCCTGATTTGTTAATACCAGAGATTATTATTTTATGGTTTCTTACTGGCTGGTTAAATTTTTTCTGACTAATTAATATGGTCCATAACTGACCTAGAAGTAGTCACTTTGTGATTGCTATTCCCATTATTCACTTAATAGGATTTGACTTTGTTGTAAAACATTTTTATATTGTCACATTATACTGTAGATTTTATTCGTGCATTGACTGTCAGCTAATGGAAACAAAGCAGATTTAGGAGAAAGATTTAATAAAAATGAAATTAAAGGTCAAAATAGAGGTTCTACTGAAAATTGAAAAATGGTTAAGTGATAATGTGGAATTAAGAAAGTATCCTTTTGATCTTTAACAGCTTGTATAGTTTATAGCATTATGGAACTATTAATTAAAATACTTAAATGTGAAATAAAATACATACAGCAGTATAAAACCAGAAGTCCCAAAAACGTAAGTCTCACCACATTAATATTTACATATTTTTTCTAGCACTTCATGTGTAACATTCTAAATGTGAAGGATATAAATATCATAACCCAGTTACTGTTTTACATTCTGATTTTTAAAAATTATATGCATTTTGCTACATTGCTCATATTTGTCTTGTTTTTATTAGAGGAAATCTTGTATTTTTTTAAGTTGACAAATTATGATCGTTCCTAACTACTGTCCTGTTGGGCACTTATTTTTTCCCCCCAAATATAGACAGATATTTCAATTGTGACATTTTATTGCCCAGGGATCATAAGAGGTCCACCAAGCTGCTCTTTAACAGTCTGGTTTTAGCACCTCCCCTAGTTAATAGGTCTATCAAATGACTCCTCATTCTGATTTTCAATATCAAATTTGGTTAATCCGATGGTGGCAGACATAAGTGTCAGCTTGAGCTTCATTTTAAATTCAATTTATTTAAAATGAAATAAATGTTAATGCTATTTAAATAAATTTACTTTGAAAGGCAAATCTTAATGAAAAGTAGAAATAAGACAGGAAATTTTGTGAAGAAAAGTAATTCCATTATGAGTACCAGACAAGGTAAGCTGAAATGCACTAACATCATTATAGATAATAGGTTATAGAGGCATTTCTTCTTGCTTTTCTAAGTAGCTCTCTAGGGATTGAAAAGTAGGGCAGATAAAACATGCTGCAAATTTCATTCACCCCTTTCCTCATCCTCCCCCTCTCCTCATCCACTTCTTCTCCTGTACCCCTTCCATTATCTACTTCTTCCACCAGCATCACATCTTCTTGTGTTTTTGTGCATCTTTTCTTCTGAAGTATAGTAATTCTTTGAATATCTTTTATTCTGACCAATTAGTTATATAAACCAAACATTTTTCGGTTATTTGAAACTGTTTCTAAATTGCGTTATATTTCCATTTCTAAATTGTATGTTTCAGAGTTTTCTTGTGAGTAGCCCAGCTTCAAAAACTTTTTCTCATAGCTTGCCATGAATAAAAAATAAAAATTTCTATGTTTTATTTTTTAAGTCTTTGACTCAAATTTCAGTTGAAATTTGGTTCATCAGTTAGCATACATCAAAGGCAGTTTTAACCTCAAGGTGATATTGTGTACTTTAACAAAAGTGTAACTGTTCTTTATCCTCCACCCCTTTTTTTAAAGGAATCCGCAGGTGGGGATCTTCAGTCTCCTTTAACACCAGAAAGTATCAACGGGACAGACGATGAAAGAACACCTGATGTGACACAGAACTCAGAGCCAAGGGCTGAACCAACTCAGAATGCATTGCCATTTTCACATAGGTACAGATTCAATTCAGCAATCATGATTAAGTAAATGTGTAAATATGGAAATGTTTGGTTTCAGGAACCCTTATAGTTACAAGCTTTGAGTGAAAATTCTAGGTTGACTTTGACTTTTTTTTTTTTTTTTTTTTTGTTGCTTCTGTTAACCTCAGAAATGAAATACACAAACTTTTTATTAACTTATAGTTTATAGTTGCATAGATGGACTGCAGTGAACATTTCCTTTATGTAGAAAAAGGAGCACTAGGCTAATTACAGTACAAATTGTTTTTCAGTGAAATAAAATCTTGTAAGTTGCTTCTACCTGTCTTTTAACATAGCCTCTAAAAGGCCTCCTTTATTAACCTGGTTTCTATTTTTGTGTATGTTCTTGAAGGTTGTAAGTTGGATTTTTTTTTTTTTTAAGTAGGCTTTCCACTCTGAAATTAAGCTTTATCATAGTCTGAGGTGATCTCATCACATGATTTCACGGAAGGAAACAGTGGGATAACTTTTAGCATGGGTTTGTTAATGTTAATGGCAGATTTATCTTTGCACACCAACTAACAGGAGATAAGTCTTCACTTGCTTTTGAATTTTAAAAGAATCTGATAACTCTGAAAACATATAATTTATCCTAAATGTGTTCCAAACCAGTTACATTAATTATTATTGGCTATACTTGGTATATTTGGGATGTAAGGAGGTCTGTGCAATTGCAATCTTGCAAATGTAAAACAAATACCTATCAGTCGTCTGTTTTAAAGTTAATTTTTTATCCTTCTTTGGAAACTTTTCACTAGGTTAGTTTTAGTTAAAATTAGGAAAACAATTTTCCTTCATAGTACATTTCTTTTGGGGACCAATTTAAAAAAATCCTTTGGCATATTAAGCAAAATTGAAGTGAAGTGAGATACTCTTCAACTCTCTTTCTCATGAGAATTTTTATTTTGATTGAAATTTGTTGAATATTAAGGGCATAGGATTAAATATAGTAGAGGCTAACATTGAGAGACCTCATTGTCAGGCTGAGGAAGAAGAAAAAATTAGTTAAGGTTTTTTAAGGAATGGCCAGGTGCAGTGGCACATGCCTGTAATCCCAGCACTTTGGGAAGCTGAGGTAGGAGGATCACTTGAGGCCAGGAGTTTGAGACCAGCCTGGGCAACATAGTGAGACCCCTGTCTCTACAAAAATGTAAAAGCTTGGGCCAAGCATGGTGGTGCACACACCTTTTAGCTACTTGGGAGGCTGAGGCAGGAGGATCACTTGAGCCTGGGAATCCAAGACTGCAGTGAGCTATGATTGTGCCACTGTACTGCAGCCTGGGTGACAAAGTAAGACCTTGTCTATAAAAAACAAAAAAAGTTTGTTTAGGAATGAACAGAGGAAAACTGACTATGAGACTATTCTAATTTGTTGCTAACAGTGCTAATAATTTTACATAAAACAGATATATTGTGGAGTTATAGATTTATTGTTTTATTGTAGTATAACCATATTTTCTGTTTATAGTTATAAAGATGACTGAACACATGAAAAATTTTAGTTCTTTCGATCTGAATAATATGTTTACATTATATAGTCTTTTAAAATATGCAGTTACAAGTAAATAATCGTATTAGTATGCAATTTAAAAAAATATTTTACTATGTTGAGGAAAGGAAAAATTTTCTTGCTATTAAATTAGATTTAACATATCCATTTAATAAACAGACTTACAACTTCACCAAATATAATTATATTGATTTCTTTGGCTAACACTTAAATTGAGCCATCTGTGTTGAATACTGTAGCATTTAGAAATAAGAAATTTTGTATTTAACATTTGTAAAAGCTATTTTTAGTTTACTTTATGCACCTAAAATTTTCCAATGTCTACAATTTTGTTAATCCTTGGTATTTGGAGTTACTACCTGGAATTGGTCTTCTCCATGATTTTTCTCTGTTCTCAAGAGTCTTTAATAAGAGTTGCTTTGACTTGAAGTACACAGCTGCTTTGACTACTGGAATTTGTAGATGAGTCATGGAGATATTTGACGGAGTTCTGAATATAAAACTTAACAGGTCAATTTAAGTTTTTAATTATGTGAGAGGTATTACATAATCTTGTAGTTCTTGTTGAAAAATACTTCACAGGATTTTTTAAGACATTCTCTGAACTTGTTTTGGTTTTACATTAGTCAGTATTAATCAGTATTCAGCTAGTTAGTTGACTGAAAACAAAATTTCCACCTGAGGTATAGAACATTGAGTATTTTAAGTTAATGCTAGAATCCCAGAATATCAGAGCTAGAAGAGACCTCAGAGATGATATAATCCATGATTTTCTGAACTGTGGTAGTTTGATATCAGTTTAATAGGCCATTTGTGGCTTTCTGAAAAATGAAATATAATGAAACCAAAGAGAAAACATTAGAATAAAACTCATATTGAGAGTAGAAACTGTTTCAGTAGTGTACGTATATGTGTGTGTGCTGATTATAGTGTAAAATGTCAAAGTTTGAAAGTGTGTGCCTTTGGCATGTGCAAGACTAAATCCCAGAGGTTGGATGAGTTACCTAAGTCACACAGTTCATTAGTAACAAATGTGAGTCTACAGCTCAGCTCTGATCCTGGTATGCACTGTCAGTTACAGTTCATTAGGCAAATACCCAACACAAGCACATTGTTTTGTCAGGAAGTTAGTAACTGTTCCTGTCCTAGGAGACCTATATAGAAATAAGATCCATGTTTCATGATTAGAAACAGAATATTAAAATAAATTTTATTGAAATCTAAAACTCACAAGTTTTTAAACTGGGCACACTATTATTTTTTCCCATTGCAAAGGAACACAATTAACATTTTATTTATTTATTTATTTATTTATTTATTTATTTATTTATTTATTTATTTATTTATGTATTTAGGGACAGAGTCTCACTCTGTCGCCCAGGCTGGAGTGCAGTGGCTCAATCTCGGCTCCCTGCAAGCTCCACCTTCCGGTTCACGCCGTTCTCCTGCCTCAGCCTCCTGAGTAGGTGGGACTACAGGCACCTGCCACCACGCCCAGCTAATTTTTTGTATTTTTAGTAGAGATGAGGTTTCACCCTGTTAGCCAGTATGGTCTCGATCTCCTGACCTCATGATCCACCCGCCTCAGCCTCCCAAAATGCTATAAAATCTTAAGTTTTTAATGCTTAGACTATATTGTCTTCCTTCTCCAATATGTGTTTTAGCAGAAAATAATTAATAGCAAAAAAATTTTTTGCCAGTATTTCTCTGTTTTAGTTGATTCCATTTAACTGCTAAATAAGGAGCAAAATCACTAGAATGTCTACGTTCTAAAAAAGATGGGGGGGGGATGTAGGAAACAGTGATCTAGTCAGTCAGATTAATTAAGAGTTGACTGTAGTAATAGCTACTTAGCAAGCCATTTGTTCTTTTCTTAAAATTCAAATTTTATGACTAAACCTCATGAATTTGTTAATTAACATATCAAAAGCAGGTCCTGCTTTTCATTTAGCACTGGAAGTTTTACTAATGTGGTTAGTTTGTTCTTTAAGTCTTTCTTAAAAAGTTACTTAACTTTAGAGAAATAAGCAAGATTTAAAACATTTTTAATATTTATAACTTTTTATTATATAAATTTTCAAGCATACATCAGAGAGAAAATACTGTAATGAACTCCTATAAACATGTCACCTGCCTTCAACAGTTATGAAAAAATGGCCAGTCTTGTTTCATCTCTGCCCTCATCTACTCCTCCTCCACTGTGTTATTCTTAAAACAAATTCACAAATACTTTTCTAAAATTACTTTTAAACTTTTGAAAAACGTATTTCCTAAGCTATTACAACTTTTTGTATTATACCTGATTCAGTGGCATTATAGATTACCTTGAATCATTTACTACTTTCTTTGATTTTTAGCTATGCAGCTGAACTAAATTTTAAATGTATGAGCTGCTCAATACTCCTTAGTCAAGTGCTATACTACTGTATTATATCCTTGTCATAAACTATGCAAAAACATTCTTATTGAATAAGCTTCAGTGAATTGATACTGTTTTAGTGTACTTATTTTTAAAGTTTAGAGATGTGTAAAAAAGGGAGATCATGGGGATGAAATGTTTACTGATTTTTTTGGGGGGAAATGTTATTAAATTTTATCTAAATTGCTGCTTATCTTTTTTTTAACCTAAATGATAATGTCTTTTGAGATTGAGCAGGTATACACTTGAAAATCCTTTGAAACCAATCTTAGATTAGTTGTATATCACGAAAAGTAGCTATATACTAATAGACTGGCATATACGTAAGAGGGAAGGTTTTGTTCTCTTTCCAGGGAGTTCTTGTTTGCTTCATAGCATCAACTGTCTGGAATTCTAGAATTTACTTGGTTTTTTGTTTGTTTTTTAAATAAATAATAATAGATTTTCTAAAAAAGATTTAAAGCCACTGAAAATTATCTTGGAAATAGTTGATTTTATAGTATTCCAGTGCTGTCACAATGTAATACTGAAAACTTAAAGTTTTCATTTTGTTCATTACAATTTTTTGATCCTCAAATATGGTACAATATTGATAAATAATTGTTGTCATATTTTCAGGAGTTCAGAAAGGACATATACATTAGCAGTTTGTGAAGCTATTTTTGTACTGATAAATTTTAATAACAGTTTGATTACCTTAATAGAAAATGGGCTCTTTTAAACACTGATTATATTTAGATTCTTCTAATGTTTAGATAATGTGTTCTCATGGTGCTTCTAGAATTTATGTATTTTTGGGGATATTGCATGTACCTTCTATTCTGTTAAAGAGATTGTTTTCTGCCACATTATGTGTTTCCAACAGATAATCATTAAAGGATGTATGCAGAAATACTTCTTTCTAGCATATTAGTCTTGCTTTAAATCAGTAAAACTACAGTTTTATCACAATGTATGACATCTGTATGGGTTTACTGCATGTGTATTTATCATCAGAGTTTTAGAAACACTTTACTTTAAAACTATGACTAGGAATTTTTGTGC